GTTGGGGATTGATTCTATGTCGGCATGCCCCCCCATCTGTGAAGCCAGCCCCACCTGCCGCTCTCTGCTGTGGACCCTCAGGAGGCTGGAGTTCTGAGACAGGCAGGCAGCTCGGCTCTGATGCCAGGTCTTCCTCTCTTTAGAAAAGTAGTAGCACGTGTGTCCGTAATAGACCCAGTCTTCGGGGCACGGGGCCCCGCCAGCTTCTAGAAGGAGGGTGACCCGTCAGTAATGCTGCGACTCTCTGAACGTTCTAGAACAGGTTAGCCAAATTAAACCATATCCGTTGTACGTATACTCAAAGACGTCTCTCTGTACACGGACGGACTTCCCACTGTCCATGGCTGCTCCTTCACTAGTCTGTGTGGGTGTGTCCGTCCTGGGACTTGAACTCAGGGCCTGGGCGCCGTCCCTGAGCTTTCTCACTCAAGGCTGGTGCTCTACCACCTGAGCCACAGCTCCACTTCTGGCTTTGTCTGGTTCACTGGAGATCAGAGTCTCACAGACTGTCCTGCCCCGGGCTGGCTTTGAACCCCGATCCTCCTATCTCAGCCTCCTGAGTAGCTGGGGTGACAGGCGTGAGCCACCGGCACCCGGTTATATTCACTGTTTTATTAAAAATATATTAAATTACAGTGAACTGCAGACAAACACAATGGTTTCCGTCTTCGTTTTTAATCCTATCGGAGACAAACTAGCCCCTAGCCTATACAGACAGACCCAATTTGTTCCTTCAAGTGTTCAGGTACGTGATTAACCAAGCATCACTGAAAGTGTGTTTTTCCCTTCGAGAACGAACACAGACCATCTCTCCAGCCTTGTTCCCTCAACTCACCCGTGAAAGGAGCCGACACTTCTTGGTGGGGAGAAGCTGTTAAAACAATCAGAATTGTTCAAATAGCACTTACAGTCCAAGCAACAGCCCTCTTGGCTCAAAAGCAAAAACTACACCCAGAACATTTATGAAAGAGATTCAGTTTTCTGAATACGAATCGTCATGGGTTACCGTGGTTTAAACCTCAGTGTTCTAAGTTTGTCTGGGTTTTGTTTTGTTTGGTTGATTTTGGCTGGTCATGGGGCCTGAACTCTGGGCCTGGGCGCTGTCCCTCAGCTCTTCAGCTCAAGGCTGGCGCTCTACCACTTGAGCCACAGTGCCACTTCTGGCTTTTTCTGTGTCTGCGGTACTGAGGAATTGAACCCAGGGCTTCGTGCATGTTAGGCGAGGGCTCTACCACAGAGCCACCTGCCCAGCCCTGTCCCTGAGCTTTTGTGCTCAAGGTTACGCTCTCTATCACTTGAGCCACAGCTCCACTACTGTTTCTTCAGATGGTTTATTAGAGATCAGAGTCTCATGAACCTTCCTGCCCGGGCTGGCTTTGAACCACAATCCTCCGATCTCAGCTTCCTGAGTAGCTGGGATGACAGGCGTGAGCCTCAGGTGTCAGCTGCTCTATTTGGTTTTTTTGTTATCACTTACCAAGAATGAAGACGGTGGTCCAGATTGCTACCATGACCATGAAACGAATGGCCATAGCCACAGCAATGAGCCGGACCAAAAATAAAGGAGCTACAAAGATAAAGAGAAGAGAACAATGAAAGTAACCACTGGTGATCACGCCTGTCATCCCAGCTACTCAGGAGGCTGAGATCTGAGGATCACGGTTCAAAGCCAGCCTGGGCGGGAAAGTCTGTGAGACTCTGATCTCCAATGAACCACCAGAAAACCGCAAATGGTGCTGTGGCTCAAGTGGTAGAGCACCAGCCTTGAGCTGAAGAGCTGAGGGACAGCGCCCAGGCCCTGAGTTCAAGCCCCACGACCGACAAAAAGAAAGAAAGAAGAAATGTCCTGTTTACCTGACATGTCACTGTCACCCTCTGTACGCCGTCTTTATAACGGCATTAAATGCTAAAACCTACGGTAGAAAAGTAGCCCATTCTCGTACCCAGATGATGATCCTGAGGGCCACGCACCGGCCCATCAGAGACGTGAAGATGGCTCTCCAGGCGCCCAGCAAACATCTTTAATTCATAATTCCAGAATAGAGCGGACCATTTGCTTTGCTTCCCCTTTTTGCTTCCTGTTGTGGTGCGATGAACTTTTCAAGCTAAATACAAAAAAAAAAAAAACCCTAAAAATCTCCATACAAAACAAAGACTAGAAATAATTCAGGTAAAATCCAGGCAGGATGAATTTCACCCAGTTTTCACTTGGTTGTAAAATAATGATTGATTATTTCAGAATACTGTGAAAGTAGAGCTGCTATTTGAAATGAATACATTGATGTATTTAATCAACACGAATTAATTGAATGTGTATGAAGACGTTTAACCAAAACCACAGATAACAAATAGCACGGTGTAGGGTTTTCTGTTTATATTTTTGGCAATACCAATTTCTTTTGAAGATAATGTAAGATTCCATGGGTATTTCGTTGGATGTTTTTGTCTCTTCTATTTCAATGAAACATTTGTCCATACTCTCAATCATGAAAATTAACACCACCATCATCATTATGAACACACACAATCTCACATATGTGTATAGGTAGCATTAAATAGTATATAGAGAATTATACAATATGCTGGGCAGGTGGCTCCGTGGTACAGTGCTCGCCTAACATGCATGAAGCCCTGGGTTCGAGTCCTCAGTACCACACACACAGAAAACGCTGGAAGCAACTTACATGGTAGAGTGCTAGCCTTGAGCAAAAGAAGCTCAGGGACAGTGCCCAGGCCCTGAGCTCAAGCCCCAGGACTGTAAATAAGAAAAAGAATTATATATTATATATACACTATATACACACTGTGTATACACTATATATACACTACCTATATTCCATATAAACACATCATACACATACACATTATATAGACTGTGTATATATAGTATATATTATGTGTGATATATATTGTATATGTGTGGACTGTGTAATATGGTATACACTACATATAGTGTGAGTATGTAATATGTGTTTATATGTATATATACTATAGTCTGTAGACTACATATACACATGTTTATATGCTATAGTGTCTGTTGGACCCTATGTGGTATTGTTAAACAGTATAATACAAAATAGTATTATATAGTGTCTAACAAGCTTACAGAAAAAGCGGCCAGTGAATAGCTATGTGTAATGCTTAGCTCTTAGAAATACCTGTTACTCGGGCTGGGAAGGTGGCCCAGTGGTAGAGTGCTTGCCTTGCATGCCTGAGGCCCTGAGTTCGATTCCTCAGTACCACATAAGCAAAAAGAAAAAAAGCCAGAAGTGGCGCTGTGGCTCAAGTGGTAGAGCGCTAGCCTTGAGCTGAAGAGCT